ATATAGATATAGATATATATATATATAATTTTTGCAGGAATTGAACTGAGGACCTTGTGCTTGGGGGCCAGGTGCTGTGCCATTGAGCAAAATCTCTGGCCCCGATCACAATATTTTATATCTGGCTTAGTCGTAGTTCTTGCCTGTTAAGAACAGCTATAATATACATTTGCAATACACTGATAATTAGTTAATTCTTAAAAAAATTCTATGTAAGACTTTGCAATTGCCAAATTGGTGAATTGGAATTATTTCATAGTATTCTTAGAGGATTGGTTGTAGGACCACCCAGGATACTAAAATCTGAGCACTAAATGCTTCATGTAAAATAATGTAGTATTTGCATACCCTATACTATAACTGATCTCTAGTTTACCATATCATATAAATCATCTTTAGTTTATTTACAACATCTGATACAATAGAAATGCTGTGTAAATAGCTGTTACATTGTATTATTTAGGAGAAAAATGACAGAGAAAAAGCATCTATACATGGTCAGTACAAGTGCAATTTTTTGCCAAACATTTTTTATGAGAGGTTGAATTTGGAGATGCAGAACTGATGGGTATGGAAAGTGACTGTATTTCAGAGTACTCACAGCAGAATTCCCTCGAATAGTAATTTGTGGTAGTCTGTGTAGTCAATTTGCTTATATTTTCTAAGACCTATGCCTGTTACTTAATGCAAAATAACTTCTTAAGAAATAATGCCCATAATTGGGAAAATGATTTCCAGTGTTCTTAAAAATTACAAGTGGTCAGTTATGTTCGTTTCCATACTACTGTTGTAATTACTTTGTATTGCACAGTTTTGAATGTTTTCTTTAATGCCAATTCTTTAACATTTTTTTTTTTTTATAGCCAGTACCAGTGAGCCTAAAGTTCAGCAGAATGCAGATCGTCGGAAACCAGAGCCGTCCTCGCCTTTTCCCAAAGCTTCAGCTCCCTCAGCTCACACTCCTTTGCCTAGTTCTCTCCCAGGCAGAAATGTGAAGGACCCTCTCCTTGATTTGAAGAACAAAATACTGGCCAATGGTGGGGTGCCCAGAAAACCCCAGCTTCGTCCTAAGAAGACTGAAGAGTTGGATGCTCAGTCCACAGAAGGCACCGACAAGGAGGAGCTGGATTCCTTGGAGGATCCACGCACATCAAACTCCCACACTCAAGACCAGAGGCGAACCCTGAGGCTACCAAGTAGATCTGGCCACTGGGTCCCAGCCCCTGGCAGGATTCCACCGAGGGCCCGAATACCTGCAGTGCCCCCAAAGGAAGGCATGGATAAGCGTGGCCCCTCACTGGTTGCCCACCCTCACCCAGGGGCTGCCTCCTCTGAGGAGGATTCCCCTGCCCACCGTGAGGCCACCCAGGGTCCCTCCCCACACTCCTACGGGGAGCCCTCTGTCAGCTCCATTGACAACAACTCTATGGACGGAGATGAGGAAGAGCGTGCTGCAAGGTCCCCCCACTCCAAGGCCACCACATTCCAGCAGCTGCCTTCTAGGACCCCAGCCCAGTCCCAGCCAGCCCTGTCCTCCAGCAATGAGGCAACCTCCAGTGACACAAGGCCCACTCACCATGGTGCAAAGCCAGCCTTACCTGCACGCAGGACACCCCATTCTGGGGTTATGAAGGAAGATTCCAGCGCCCCTGTGCCACCCTCAAGACTTTCTCCCCCTTTCAGAGGGTCATCTCGGCTGCTGCCCATCCAACCGCATCCTGGCCCTCCACTCTCTAGGGGCTGGAAGGACGGTCACCCCCTGACTGTCAACTCGCACGCACCTTCACAGTCTACCCTGTCTGTCCCCGTCTCTTCTCACCTCTCTTCCAGTACAGAGGTCTCTGAGGGAGGGGATACTTCTGATGGCAAGGGCCCCAGTGACAGGGATGCAGAAGATCCTGTGAGGCAGGCTGAGGCCACTGTCCTCACTCCAAGGGCCCGACCTGCTTCTGGACACTTAAGTTTGCTCAGGAACAGGCCCTTTGCTGCCAATGGCAGGTTTCCAAACAGGCTCCTCAATGGCCGAGGACCACGGCTTCAGCCCTCCAGCTTTCCCCAGGCCACTATGGCCTCCAGAACCCTCCCCAAGGTCCATTCCCAGTCAGGTTCCCATCCTAGGCTTGGGTCAGGTATCCATGGAGACGGGGAGGATGAAAAGCCACTTCCTGCCACTGTGGTCAGTGACCACAGGACTTCCTCATCCAGGCAGCTCCCCTCTGGAGGCTGGGACTCTTCAAGGAGAGGCCCCCAGAGAGGGGGAAGCCAATACCGGAAAGAGCCTGTCCCAGAGAGCCCTAAGTCTGCGGGGACAGATATAAATACTTTGGACAAATCCCCCTCTCTGACCTCCAGGGCACAGGACATTGAACAAAGCACAGACGTGGAGGTGGAAGAGCGTTCTCCCAAAACTCAGCTAGTGTCCACGGGACGTCAGCCGTCCCCTGCCCGTCCTCCAGCGCCAAGGACTCAGCTCTACCCTGGGGCCAGTATTCCTAGAAGAATGGCCCCTGGCCGGGCCTCACAAAATCAGCCCCTCGCACCGGTTTCCACTTCCGAACACCAGCATGGGGGTGGCACCCAGAGCAAGGATACCGATCGGTCCCTTTCCCAGCCTAAACTGGCGCTGGCTCCGGCTGGGCATCCCCGCCCCCGCCCCACGACGCAGGGCAGCGCCCACTCCTCAGATAAATTGGCAGGGATCTCAGGAGGATTGCTCCGCCCAGCTTCCCAGGGCCAGGACGAGAATTCCCAGAGCAGCTACGAGGACAACAGCACAGAAGTTGAGGCCCAAGATATCCGCGACCCCACACGGGCTGCTCGGCCCAAGGATGCCACCCCATCCCTGTCCAAGTACCATCAAGTGGCATCTCCGGCAGGGACCAGAGAGGACAGACGTGGCCATGCAGGCACATCCCAGAGGCCCAGCAGGCCTGGCAATCCCCAGCCCCGCACCCGGGTCCCAGGCAAGGCTGGGGCACAGGTCACATCAGGAAAGGAGTCTCCTTCCAAGCGCCCACTGCCCTCCAAATCTCTGCAGTCGGTCTCCATGGAGGAGGAGGAAGAGGACATGGGAATTTTAAAAGGAGGAAAGGAGGACCCTCTGTCTTCTGCTCCAAAGTGGCCTTCTTCCTCCACCCTCAGGGGCAGCAAATACTCGGATGGGAGCCTCAGCAAGGACAGGCCTACCATTGTACTGGCTCCCAGAGGAGGGAGCTCTGCGCAGGAAGAGAGCGCGACCCCGGGCAAGCGACCTCTGGGCAGCCTCCCAAGAGCCTCGCACCTGCCTACCCGCTACCCTCCTCGCAACCCCGCTACCCTGAGTCCCAGCGTGAGCACCACCTCCTGGCCTCGGTATACCACTCGCTCCCCTTCGAGCGACTACTCCACCACACCGATGCTCTCCTTGAGACAGCGGATGCAGCGCAGATTTCGCACTCCTGGCTTGCGCCAGCCTGCGAAACCCTCTTACGCACAAGGTAATAGATTTTAAAAAGCATCAGCCCCTTCCCTCCCAGGGGCTCAGTAGTGTTCATTGCAATTCTTGAGAGGTTTTTAATTTAATTTAATTTTTAAAATTTTATGTTATTGGGTATCTAACTACATCTAAGCACTGTTTTTAGAGCTTTCCAGGTGCAACATAATTTTATCCTTTTAAATAGTCTCCTAGGGTTTGCCTTGCTTTTCAGATGAGGAAGCTGGGGCTCAGGGATCCTAGCTGCTTGTTTGAAGTCAGACTGTTATGAAAAGTCTAAGCTGCAATTCCAGTCCCAAATACTAATTCCACGACTCTCTGTCATTCTGTTGTCCCATATTGCCTCTCTGAACCCCTTAACACATGCTCGTAATCTGTGAAAATGTGTCACAACCGCGAAGTTCTTTTTGTGTTTAGTTGCCACCATATGTTTAAGGAATCAGCAACAACAAATTAGATACGTATGTAGGCTTATTTTGTTCTTATATTCTATATACAAAACTCTCAACCAAACATACCACAGGACAAATTCAAATGTCTAGGATTTGAATCCCTCGGACATTGCAACCAGTGAATATCTAAAACCGCCATACCTTTAGTGTATGCTAACGACAGTCATCAGCCAGAGGAGTCAGACAGATGTGTGCCTTGTATTTCCATAACACAGCAGAATATAGATCTTAGATCCTGCCCTGGAGACCACCTAAGCTCAGCCAAGGATCTAAGGTATTTACCATAAAATTGCATTTAAATTTGAACCCTCCTTGCATATAATTGGGGCTTCACAGAACATTCTTGAATGAATGTTCTCGTATTGTTAATCTGTGCAACACACTAGTCATTTTAGCCCAATGCAAAGACAGAATAACGCCCCACAATGAAAGACAGTTTTCCACTAAGATTGACTTTTAAAGCAAAATTAAGGTGCTGATTATATAAGTAAAATTCAGTATTTCCTTGGACATAGTAGGAACTCAGTCCATAATTAATGGGTAAACACAGGAGGGAGAGAAATACATCTTTGATCTGCAAGACAGTGTCAGAAAACTCAAACACTTAGCATCCTGTGAGGTTGAACCCATTTGAGGCCTCAGGGGACTGTCTCTGAGGGGAGAGGTGGAGACAGACAGAAACAACAACTTAAAGGGCAGCTGCTGCACCTCCTGCTTCCTATCTTGGTCAGTACTTCCCAATCAGCATGAGTTCAAGCTCTGAGACAACACTGGCATTTGTACTTGCCAAGTGATGATTGGCACCCAAGTCAGCTAGAAATAGTTGTCCTGTTTGGTATAATATGCCAACAACAGCAGGATTCCATTTAGTACATCTTGGAGAGAACTTTTTCTTCTAATCACCCCTCTCCCTCCAACTTCTGACTGGCTAAAATAAAGCTACACCTACTAAAGTCTTTAACTCTGTGTGGCAAATTTAGTTATGCAGCCACGTTCTCATTACCCACATATTGTTAGAAAACTGACTTTACTGTACTTTTTTAGTAAGCATTCTAATTTACCATGTAGAAATCACACTGTAAGATTATTGTTACTTAACATATAGGAGCGACTGGTTTAGTAGTGCTTAGTATTTGCTTGATACAATGTATTACAACTTTTGGTTTGGGATAATATCAACAGTCTAGGAAATGTTGAATTTACCAGGTTCTGTTATTTTTTAAACTTTGAAATTTTTTCACTGTTTAGGTTATAATGGCAGATCCAATGTAGAAGGGAAAGTACTTCCTGGTAGTAACGGGAAACCAAGTGGACAAAGGATTATCAATGGCCCTCAAGGAACAAAGTGGGTAGGGTAAACTTCTTTAAGCATTCCAGCTGTTGGAGAGAAAAATGATAAATACTGTGGACCAGTAAATCAAGTGGTTTACTTCCTTTTCTTCTCTGGTTTTAACCACATGAAGATACTTGAATGTGGTTTATTTCAAGGCTCAGAAAATGTTTGGTTCTCTTTATTACTATGACATCTCACAGCTAATCGATGAGGCCTGGGGCTGATTTACATTTATCTTGATGGTTCGGAAGTTCAAACAAAAGTGTGGCCTGACCGTAGCAGAGTCTGATTGAAGGCCTCTCAAATAAACATGTTTTTTCTGCTCTCCTACCTTTATTTGATTCATATTTTAGCTTATTGTTTGATTAAATATTGCATGTATTTTTTGCTAGTTTTCTCAAATCCTTTATAAAAGGAAGCAGGGTAAAAACAAATAAAAATCTCTGAATCAAATAGGCAGTTTTCTATTATATTACCTTTGAAATCATTGAACAATTGTTAGACTAAAATTAAAAACACACATTAGTGCTTTATGTATGTTTAAACAAAATGACTACTAAAACCCTGCATTAAAAAAAAAAAACCCTGCCTGAGGGTAAGATAAATGTTTAGGTAATTATCATGAAGTGATAATAATGGATAGAATGTAATGTTCAGGGACTGAAAATATTCTTTTAAAGAATAAAAAATAATTCACAGTGGAATTTTCAGTCAAAACTTTCCATTTTTAATGGCAAGTTTAGGAAAACATATCAATGAATTTCATGAAAATTTTAATCACTGATGATCTTAAGATGAAGTTTACCATTTCTCAAAGGAACAGAAATTCATAGTAGGAAGAAGGCAAATTAAAACAAAATGTCTTTGCAAACAATTGTGAACTGGAGCAGTATATAGTGGATTTCTAAAGTTATATTTATATAGATCAATCTCTTTTTTGTTATCAAAACAACACCCAACAAAATGACCTGCTGAAAGACTTCCTCCCACAGCCTGATCATGCAGAGCAGGGGGATTCAAATGTGAACCAGTTTAGGGCTGCTGTCAAATCAGACCTGGGGTCCGATGGAGTGATTTGTGCATCTGATGAGTCGCCAGGTGAAGGGGAGGTGATGGGAGGCTTTCCCGAACCACCAGTGAACATCACAAGCTTCTTCCTTCATAGAGATAGTAATAATATTTTCCCAAGTTTCATCGAATACTATATTAGGCAGCAGTATTAAAATTAACTTGTTTTAAACTTAATAATTAAATTATAATTTGATTTTAAACTTACACAGTAAAATGCAAGCCCTGTATGTTTTTAAACACTAGCAATACATGTTCATCTGAATTAAATACTTCAGAATTATGTGAAAAAGAAAATAAGCATCCACTATCCCAGACCATTTTTCAAAGATAGCCACTATTTGCAGTTTGGAGTGTTTCCTTCCATAATTATTTTCTCTGAAATTTCAAGCTTATATACAAATATGAGTATATTTTTGTTTTTGCAAAAGAGTGAGTCCTACATACTAAGTACACATCAGAATAGGTCAGTATGTATAGGATTCCCATATCCTTTTAATTGGCTATGTACAGGCCATGAGGTGTTTACTCTCTCCTCTCACTTGATGGACCTTTAGACTGTGTCCTACTTTTGAGCATTAGATCCGTTTTACTAACTGCTAAAAACATCTAAGCATCTTTTATGTACTTGAAAAATTTAAACAATTTACATATTATATGAGTAAATGGTTATCATGTGAAATATAACTGTTTTACCCTTTGTTTTTAAAACTTTGCAGTTAATACTAACACAAAGAATATTTCCCACTCACATTATGGGTTTCTTCTGTGGGAAGTTTCATGCATATGTATAAGTAGCTAAATTACTGTGATCATTTAAAAAAGTCCAATATATTCTTTATCTGTGTCATGATTTAGGTTGTGGACTTTGATCGTGAGTTGGTGTTGAATGCAGAAGGGAGATACCTCCAAGATTCACATGGAAATCCTCTCCGAGTGAAACTGGGAGGAGATGGTCGCACCATTGTGGGTAAGCAAGAATAGTTTTTAAGGAACAAAGTTGTACTGGATCATCTGTAGAATAACAAATATCTTCCACCTCCTCCACACTTTAGTGGATGCCCTCAATCCAGTTTCTTTCAGCCCTATAGGAAGAAGATTGTCAAAAGAGGCAGAATTTAGATTTCTCTCCCATGACCTTAGCTATACTTTTCCTGAAGACATAATTCTCTAGAAATGTGTTTACTCCTTTTTTTTTTTCATTAAGTCTATCGGTACTTTTTAGATATACAGTGCAGTTCCGTTCATCATTGGGATCTTGTACCTTTGCATGATGTATCTTGGTTCTTATTTTTTCCCTATTCCCCTGCCCTCCCTTCACCCCCTCCACACTTCTCTATTTACAAAGACTTTGTTTCCATTTTTCCCTTTTCTTGTATTTTTTCTTTTCCCTTCTTTCTTTTCCTGTGCCCTTCACACTTCCCCTACTCCTTTAGCCCTTTTCTTCCTATTTCACATTATCAGTTATACAATTTGAACCTTATTTACACTTTTAGTTTTTCACACAAGAGAAACTAGATCTCTTCTGGTTCCAAAGGAATTTTTGGTTTGTTTTCTCTAGTTCTGTGAAATATACTGTTGGAATTTCAATCGGAATTGCATTGAATCTGTAGAGCAGTTTTGGTAGTATGGCCATTTTCACTCTGTTGATTCTTCCTACCCAGGAGCGAGGGATGTCATTCCATTTTCTTATATCCTCTTTGATCTCTTTTTTCAGAGTGCTGTAGTTTTCAGTGTAGAGGTCTTTTGCTTCCTTCATTAGATTGATTCCTAGATATTTCATCTTTTGGATCCTATTGTCAAGGCTATTGTCTAATTTCTCTCTCAGCAATTCTGTTATTTGTGTACAAGAAGGCTATTGATTTTTGATTGTTGACCTTGTATCCAGCTACCCTACTGAATCTGTCAATTAAGTCTTGAAGTCTTTTAGTGGAGTATTTTTTGGGGTCTTCTATGTAGAGTATCATATCATCAGCAAATAATGACAGTTTAATTTCTTCCTTTCCTGTCTTTATTGCTTTTATTTCTTTCTCTTATCTAATTGCTGTGGCTAATGTTTCCAAAGCTACATTGAACAGGAGTGGTGACAGTGGACATCCTTGTCTTGCTCCTGATTTTAGTGTGAAGGTTTTCAGAATTTGATCATTTCGTATAATATTGGCTATTGATTTTTCATATATAGCCTTTATCACGTTGAGATAAAGACCATCTATTCCAATTTTATGCAGGGTTTTTTTTTATCGTGAATGGGTGTTGAATTTTGTCAAATGCCTTTTCTGCATGTATTGAATGATCATATGGCTTTTGTCTTTGACTCTGTTAATATAGTGTATCACATTTTTTAATTTACATATGTTGAACCATCCTTGCATCCCTGGAATACATCTGAATTGGTTGGAGTGTATGATTTTCTTGATGACCCTCTGTATTCTGTATTCTGACAGTATCTTATTGAGGATTTTTCATCTATGTTCATTAGGGAGATTGCCCTGTATTTCTCTTTTTTGATTGGGTCTTTCCCTAGTTTTGGAATCAAAGTAACGCTTGCTTCCAGGAATGAATTTGGAAGTACTGCTTTCTTTTCAATTTCATTGAAAAGTTTAAAGAGTAGTGGCAATAGTTCTTCTCTAAACGTTTTGTGGAATTCACCAGTGAAGCCATCAGGGCCTGGGCTTTTCTTTGTTGGCAAACTTTTAATTACATTTTCAATTTCACTGATTGTAATTGGGGTGTTTAGAATTTTTTAATCTTCTTTATTCAACTTTGGTAATTCATATGTATCTAAAAATCTGTCCATTTCCTCTGTGTTCTCCACTTTATTAGAGTACAGGTTCTCAAAGTAGGTATTGACTATCCTCTGGATTTTTGTTGGATCTGTTGTGACTTCACCTTTTTCATTCTTAATTGAATGGATTTGAGCCTTTTCTTTCCTTTTTATGACAATGTTGGCTAAGGTTTTATTGATTTTATTCATTATTTCATAAAAACAACTCTTTGATTCATTGATTGTTTTTGTATTCTCTTAGTCTCCATTGCATTGATTTCTGCTCTGATCGTTATAATTTCTTCCCTTGTATGAGCTTTGGGGTTCTCTTTCTCTGCTTTTTCTAGGAGTTTAAGATTCACCATTAGGTTGTTTATTTGAGCTCACTTTGTTTTCCTAGTGTGGGCATTTACTGCTATGAATTTCCCATAGAACTGCTTTCTTTCATTGTGTCCCATAGATTCCTGTGTGTTGTATTGGTATTATCATTTATTTGTAAAAACTAACTAATTTCTTCAATTCCCTCTGTGACCCATTGATTGCTCAGGAGAGTGTTGTTCAATTTCCATATGTTTGTGAAGTTCTTAGGATTTCTTATGCTGTTGAACTCCAATTTAATTGTAGTATTGTCAGATAATATACACGGGATAACTTCAATTCCTTTGCATTTATTTGAACATGTTATATGAGCTAGTTGTGGTCCATTTTGGAGATTGACCAGTGTGCAGCTAAAAGGAATATGCATTCTGATTTTGTGGCGTGGAACACTGTAGACAGCTATTAAGTTCATTTGTTCAAAAGCTTGGTTGAGTTCTAGTATTTTGTTTTTGATTTTTTTTGTCTGAATGACCTGTCTATTTGTGACAGTGGGGTATTAACTACAACTGTATTCGTCATGCTTATTTAGTTTTTGATGTCCCTTAATATTTGTTTTGTGTAGTTGGGGCATTAATATTTGGTGCACATATATTTATGATTGTCATTTCTTTCTCTAGGATTGTTCCCTTTACAAAGATGTAGTGACCTTCTTTGTCTCTCTTAATTAATTTTTGTTTGAAATCTATTCTGTCTGCAAATGAGATAGCTACCCCTGCTTTTTTCCAGTTTCCTGTCTTGTGGAGAACTGTTTTCCATCCTTTTACTTTCAGTCTATGAATTTCTTTTTAAACTAGGTGTGTTTCTTGCATACAACATATTGTTGGATTTTATTTCTTAATCCATTTTCCAGTTTATTTCTCTTGACTGGTGAATTGAGGCCATTAACATTGATGGTTATAACTGCTAAGTATTGAATTTTCATTGTCACATTATTGTCCTGTTGTTGGCTGTTTTTAATTTTTTCTCCTCACCCTTTCCTAATTGATTTGCTCTGTTGGGCCTCATGGTGTTGTGATCTTCATTGTCTTCATTGTCTTTTTCTAGGATATTGTTTAGAATCCTTTGGAGTGCTGGTTTGGTATTGATGAAGTTTCTCAGTATTCTTTTCCCTATCCATTTTGAAAGAGCATTTTGCAGGATATATCAGTCTAAGTTGGAAGTTGTTTTCTTTTAGGGCTTGAAATATCTCACTCCTGGCTCTCCTTGACTTGATGGTTTGTGTGGAAAAGTCTGCTGTGATTCTGATGGGCTCTCCTTTGCATGTAACTTGTTTCTTTTCTCTAACTGCTTGCAATATTTTGTTCTTCTTTTGGGTTTTTCTTTCTTTTTTTTTTTTTTTTTTTTTTTTTTTGGTCTTCTTTTGGGATCTTGATTATTATGTCTAGGCATAGATTTTTTTTGATCATGGCTAGTTGGAGTCCTATATGCCTCACTTATCTGTATGTCAAATTCTTTTTTTCTGTTTGGGAAGTTTTCTGTCATTAATTCTGTGAACAGTTTTTTATGTCATTTGTACTTTCTCCTGCTTTTCCATGAACTCTTATCAGTCTTATATTATTCTTCTTTGTGTCATCTAGGAGCTGTTGGATTGATTTCTCATGGTCCTTTACTATTTTTAAGGGATCTCTCTTTTCATGGTCACTGACTGCCATTCTGTCTTCCATATCTGATATTCTGTCTTCAGATTGGGTCAGTCTCTTGTCGACACTTTTAATAGAGTTTTTTTTTTTTAAATCTTCTGGATATTTATCTGTTTCATGGATTCCATTTCTTTCCTATGCTGGGCATTCATGGCTTCTATCATGGTCCTGAACTCATCTATTTTTTTTGTCTGTTTCTGTTCTAAAGTCTCTAGTTATGTTTTTCATTATGCTCACTATCTCTGTAGTTATCTGGGAAATTATTTCTGTTTGGAATTTTTCTAGAGCCTTATTCATCTGTTTTGTTACTTTATGTGCTATCAGTTCAGGGTGTCCTGGTGGTTGATTGTCAGACTTTTCCACCTCATTTCCCCTAGAATTTGCCATTGGTGAAGTGGAAGTCCATATTTGTGCCTTGCTTAAGTGTTTTCTCATTTTTATTTTTGTTTTTGGTACTGTCCTTGTTTTAATTCCTGGGTTAATACTTCGATCTTCCAGATATAGCTGATCTTTAGTTTTGAATCTCTCATGACTCAGAGACACTCTCATTTTCATAATATCAGGAAGGACGATTGATTAAATCAATGACAACACCTTAGCCCAAGTGATACAATCAGCAGCATGATAGCATCTAGCACATTTTAGAAACTGAGTCCAGAGGACTCAGGAAGATCATGTAAACTCTAGGAAACTGTTGAAGACAAGAGGGAAAGAGATAGTGAAAGAAGAAAAAGAATAGAACAACTTAACAGTAATAGGGAAGCTATAAATTGTACTCACTTTCCTTTGAGATTAATGACAATTGAGAGAAGGAAAAAGAGAGAAAAAAAGAAAAGGAAGAAAGCTGAATTAGAGCGGGAAGAGGAATCAAAAGGGGGAGGGAGAACAACGTGGGAGAGCAAGAGAAAAAAGAAAATAGGAAGAATTTGAAGAGTGGGAAAAATGAAATTAAAAAATAAAAATTAAAAATTAAAAATAAGAGGAAAAGAAAGAAAGAAAATTGAAGGGCCTCCTTCTGGATATGTCTCTGCTGTCACAATAGATAATGTGGGCAGCAATGTGCAGATCTAATTCAAGTAGTCTCAGCAAGCCATCAGCAGACCCCTGAGATTCAGGCTGATTTCTGGCTGTAAGGCCCAAGTTGAGCTCCCTGACCTCTTGAAGGGTTCAATTCTTCAAGGTTCTACTGCAGGTTCCAGCTGCCCTTCCCCTGAAGATAGTCCAGGTTCAGATGGGAGGTTGTGATCCATCCAGCTTACCAACTATGGTGGTCAGGTGTTCCTTTATTGCAGGTATTCACTTCTGCTCTATCTTCTGGAGCTCGTACATTGGCCTTTATGACCACCCAAGAGCATGTGGGTGGGTGGGGGGTTGTGATGCTGCAGGGTCACCTGTGTGGTTCTGATTGGAGGCCAGGGGAACTCAGAAATGTGTTTATTCTTGAAACTGGCCATTTAGAGCAAGGAGTCTGAAAGTTATGGCCCACAGGCCAAAATCCTGTAAGCCTGTGAACTCAGAATAGCTTTTTTAAATGATTGGCGGGGGGGCAAGATGTTTTAGACATATGATATTTCTATGAAATTTGAATTTCAGTATCCATAAAGAAAACATTATTGGATCACAGAAACATTGGTTATATATCATGTAACTGATTTGTTATGTATTGTTTATGTATCATGTGTCAATTATTTTTTTGCCCCACAAGGGCTGAATGAAGTATATTGACAACAGAGACCATCTGGCCTCTTAAAGCTTAAAATATTTACTCTCTGGCCCTTTACAGGAAAAGTTTGCTATCCTTGGTCCAAAGTAACAGTTGTGTTCCTTAGTAGTAGGAATGAGATAAAAGAAGGAGTTACTTCCCTTACTAGACACTAAGAGTTTTCTGGGGTAATGGAGTATACTGATGAAAGATTTCTGTGCAAGGAAATACAGGTTAATAGGCATAATAAGCTCAGAAAATTCTAGGTAGCAGTGGATATTACTATCTCAGCTGATACACTATACATCACTCCTTTGCATTTTACTATGCATCAACTTTGAGAAGACACTTTCCATTAGGTTTTTATTTCCTCTGGATCATTTCACCTTGTTGCATAGCTCTTGGTTAATTTTGTTTCAGATCTTGGAGGGACACCTGTGATCAGTCCTGATGGTCTCCCCCTCTTTGGGCAGGGGCGACATGGCAAACCCCTGGCCAGTGCCCCGGATAAACCCATCTTGAGCCTTGGAGGAAAGCCTCTGGTGGGCCTGGAGGTCATCAAAACAACCACCCTTCCTCCTACCACAACCATGTGGCCTACCACAACTACGACCACTGTGCCTACCACTACCTCTCCTCGACCCACAAGGGCCACTGCCCACCGCATGACCACCACCCGCCACACCACCACCTCCCACCGCATGACCACCACCCACCGCACGATAACGACCACACTTCCAATGACTACAATCCGAACTACTATGCCGACAACCACCACCACCACCACCACCCCTGAACCCACCACTCCCATCCCTACCTGTCCCCCTGGGACCCTGGGACATCTTGACGGTGATGGCAACCTGATAATGGGCTCTAATGGCATCCCAGAGTGCTACCCTGAAGAAGGTAACCAGCTTTGTTCAATGGTAACCCAATCCACTTAACTAGTTTGCTGCGTTTCAGAAGAGAGGCCAAGCCTGCAGGAGAGGGGTAAGTAATGTGCATAGCAAAATGGTAGTTTGAGGTGGCTGTAATTCCTGCAGCTTTTATAGTATTATGTTAAAAGCAGGGTTGTTAGATTTAGCAAGTAAGAAATATTACATGGGGCATAACTATACAAAAATTTATCTTGCTGCTTATCTAAAATTCAAGTTTACTTGGGTACCTTGTGTTTTATGTGGCAGCCCTTGTCACAACCCAAGGCACTAATTTAGCTAATATTTGTGACATAATTGGTTCAGTTAATGTTTCCTAAAGTATTTCCCACTGGATACTAGTAGATTAGTGGTATGTTTTTAAAAAAGAAAAAAAAATTCTGTGATTAACTGTGTGATTTAAACAAGGTTTGATAAATTTCTTACTGTTGGATCATTGACTAGCCTCCTTCTGAATCTCCAAGAAAAGCAGTGTTTGACTGATGAACGCCCTGAGCAGCCTTCTTTTTGGAAAATGCCAAGCCTCAAGTGTTTAGGCCTCCCATAGAAACTTGAGCTTTCCATAGGGTAAGAGGTGCACCATTTCCCTGCTTTGTCGTGCTTGATCTGGGCCATCCAGCTGTGGTTGATGCTGTCCATCTTACTGCTGGGAACAGCTTCTTCCCTCTGAAGAATGGGAGCTAGAACACATTTGCCCAGGCTGTGGAGAGCTGATGTGTCATAACTGTCCTTTCTGCTCAGGCCCCTCTTCCAACTGCTTTGGAAGTTGTCAGCCTAGATCAGCAGTGGAGATAAATTCATGTTCTTTTCATGGGAAAATGCCAAATAAACAGTAAAACTTTACATATCTAAAACGTTCACACCAAAACATAAGCAAATATGTACAGAAGGGGAGTGGAGACACATTCATCTTCTTTGCATGGGAAAATGCCAAATAAACAGCGACACTTCACGTATCTAAAGAGTTCGAACCAAAGCATAAGGAAATGTGCACAGAAGGAGAGGACCACTGGGAAGAAGACTTTTAATGCTATTTATCCAGTAAGTACACATTTGAATTTACCACTGTATTTGTAGCATGAGAGTGACTTCTTCTGTGTACATTAATGTGTTTATTTTTAAACATAGAAGTATAATTAAAATAGATAATTTAATAGTTGGTTGTAAATAAAAGTGATTATTTTAGATTTGATTTTGGTTACTGTGGATACACTGCTTTTCTTTTAAAACCTTATAATTTTTTTCATATGCTTTTTATTTTTGGACTTTCATTTGACATGAAAGTCAATATTTTTCTTGGGATTTGTGTATCTTTTCTTTGCAAATAGTGATATCTGTCCTATCTATCTACTTATATTTATTCTTCAGATATTCTAATCTAAGCTAAAGAATAATTTGCTTCCAGGCAGCTATTTGAAAAAGTACAAATCAATACAAAGTCTTGGGTGAAAAAATTAAATTTGGGGCATCTGTATATATGTCATCAATATACTAATGTACTATATATGTTATTTTAAAAATATTTCTGTATAGCCTATCTTCTTATTTCTGTTATTTTAGTAACAATTTTATTAAACATTTTTCCTTGCATTAATTCTGATTCATATATAGAAAGCTGCACATATTCAATCTACACAACTCCTTGAGTTTGGGGATGAGAATACACTTGTTAATTCATCACCACCATCAAGGCCACAGACATATTACCTTCTGTCCCCTTTAATTGCTGGTATTATTCTTTTCTCTTTTTCTCTCCATCTCATTTTTTGGAGTTGCTTTTTTCTCCTCATCTTTAAATTCACCCTGCTGTCCTAATACTCAAATATCATCCCTTTTTGGCTTCCTTACATCAGCCTCAACTCACCTTCTCCCTAAATGTTCAACTCAACACACCATTAGTGAAGGAACCTGTGAGCCAGACCTTTGGGAATGCGCAGTGCAGTCTCTGCTTCATTCATTGCTAATGTGACACTTCAGGGTTAATGATGGGGAGAGGTAAAGGAAGAACATATCTGTATGGAACCAGGTTCTAAAGATAGCTTGAGATTTGAAAATCAGAGTCAAATTGCTCTAGAATGTCATAAAATACATTTGCTGTTTCTTGGTTGAATGCCCTGTAATCAGCCTTGATATGCAAAAGTTCTTTCTTTGAAAGCTATCAGGATATTCAGAGCAGAAAGAAGATCTCAGTGGGGCTTGGGTATCAGCTAAGGGACTCTCCCAGGTCCCCCCAACATATAAATTACAGAACCACCTGCATGCCATCCCCAGCACTGGTTCTACCTCTTGTGTTAGTGTTTCTCTCCTATACCTTCTCTGCTTGTACAGACTATAGTTCAGTATTTTCACAGATGCTGGAATCCCATGTGTACACAACCAGGATTTGACAAGCAGCACCTTGGGTGTGCACTTTGCAGCCCAGCAGCTGGAAGTGTTTGTTGCTTGAGTGATTACGATTTGGAAGCTGTATTAGTGATCAATGATGAGTTTAGGGAGGGTCCCTTCCAAGTCCCCTATCTTCCCCTACCTCTAGTTGACCACTTACCATTCTGTTCTGTTTGCACAGTCACTCTGTAGTTAAATCATGTCCTCCTCCCTTCTTTAAAAACACTGCCTTCAGATAATGTTCTGGAAATACCCTTGGGCTGTTCAGTGATTCCAGCAATTCAATAGTATTTATATGTACTTCCTCATTGGTCATGGATGCCATACTTCTCTGTAGGTATAGATGCGCATTATATGCCTGCTTCCTGTGTACTATGCATTTTCCACTCTTCCACACACACACACACACACACACACAGACACACACACACACATGCACTTTCTATTTATTTTTTTCTTGATCTGACTTCTCCATTTGATAATAAGCTTCTTGTAGCCAAGACAGTGACTTCTGCTTCATCTCTAGATCCTTATGTGTTTTAGTCACTACCCCTTCACTAGGACAAAATATCTAACACCCACAATTTAAAGGAGGAGAGGTTAATTTTGGCTCACCATCTTTAGAGGATCCAGTCCACAGTCTGCTGACTCCAAAGCAGTAAGGGCATAGTGGAAAGGTCTGTTGCAGGAAAGCTTTTCTTGTCATGGTGGCCAGAAGCAGAGAGAGAAAGGAGGCTCCTAGGAAGGAGATGTACCTTTCCAGATTGTGCCACCAATGGCCCACTTATTCTAACTAAAGCCCACTTCCTAGCAATATGCTGAGCTCTGAACTCTTCAGGGAATTAATTGACTGATAAATATCACCCCATAAGGCAACACTTTTCAAAATTCCAACCTCTGAACACATAAATCTTTTAGGAAATATCTTAGATCTATCTAGAATATATAAAGAACTAAAAAAAAATCAGACCCCCCCATATAAAGACCCAATTCATAATGGGCATCTGAAATGAACAGATATTTCTCAGACAAACAAGTAAAAGAAGCAAATGATCATATGAAAAAATGTTTAACATCACCGGTCATTCTAGAGATGCAGATGAAGACAACACTGAGATTCCATCTTGCCTCAGTAAGAAAGGCTACTATCAAGAAGTCAACTAATAATAAATGCTGGCAGGGTTGTGGGGAAATAGGAACCCTTCTTCATTTTTGGTGCTAGTGCAGACTGGTGCAACCACTATGGAAATCAATATGGAGACACCTCAAACAACTAGGATTACAGGTCCCATTTAACCCACCTATTCCTTTGCTGGGTATCTTCCCAAAAGAATTATACTACAGCAATATATGCTTGCCCATGTTTTTTAAAGGCACAGTTTATAATAGCTAAAACTTGGAAACAGCCCAATTTGCCATCAATTGGGGACTGGATAAAGAAGATGTCTTTTTTTAAAAAATGGAACACTACTCAGCCATAAAGAATGAGAAACTAGAGAGATTTGTAACTAAGTGGATGCACATTAAGGTCATACTCTTAAGTGAAATTAATAAGTTACACGTGTGTAAATACTGAATAGTTTCTCTGGTGTGAAAAAGTAAAAATATAAATAAGGATTAAAATGTATAATTGGTAGTGTGTAATAGGAAGAAATGTTTAAAAGAGTAGAGGAAGTGGGAGGAGTAGGGGATAAGTAAAAAGGGAAAAGAAAAAATTTTTGAAAAGGAAAAACATAGAAACAATGTCTTTGTAAACAGGGAAAGGTGAAAGGGCTGAGGGGAGGGCTTGGGAATGGGGAAAAATAAGAACCTGATAAGTCACGTATAGGTACAAGATCCCAATGATGAATGTATCTGTGTTGTATACTTAATAGCAGCACAGTTTGTAATAGCTAAGACTTTGAAACAGCCCATTTGCCCATCTGTTGGAAACTGGATAAAGAAGATGTGGTTTTTCTATAAAATGAAATACTACTCAGCCATAAAGAATGAGAAATTAGAGTCATTCATAGGAAAATGGATACATATTGAGGATAAACTCTTAAGTCAAATAAATAAGTCACGCATGTGTAAATACCGAATAGTCTCTCTGGTGTGAAAAACTATAGTAGTACACAAGATCCTAATGGGATAATTAATAGTGTGAAATAGGAAGAAAGGGGCTAAAGGTGTAGGGAAAGTAAGGGGGTGATGGGAGGGCAGGGACAAAGAGAAAAAATGAGAACCAAGACCTGTCATGTGAAGGTACAGTAATGAATGTCACTATATTGTATACCTAGATTGTACCAATAAACTCAATAAAAAGAAAAAAATATATACCAATAAATTTAATAAAGAAAAAACACCCTCTCATGTCATAGCATGTAATATAGGCATTCTCCATTTTCTACATGGGAAGTAAAAGTCACTCACCTTTGTTTTTCAGGTCCTGTCTCTACAGTAGATCAGATGAGATCATATGTATTTGGAAATGTTAAGAGCCAGCTGAACGTACAAGAATTTGTAACAGAACCTTGCTGCGTGTTGCACTGAAATAGCAGTGATTATGGAAAGCAGTTCCTCTCTCTCCTGACAGAAAATATGGAAAGAATAACTGAAATTCACTTGAGCTGGCACCACCACAGAGCATGGAAATATGCCTGAGTTTCAGTGGCTGTCATTTATCTCCTCTCTCTAGACTTTTACAAAGAACAAAATTTTTTCCTAAGTTTTGAACATTAGAGTTTACTCTCTAATTCTGTAGTGATCGAACTCATGTTTTTTGTGACTATGGATAGACTACTGAAGAGAATAAGCTACACTACCATGGTGGATGACTAGCAACTACTTTACATGAAGAAGTTTAAGTTTTTGATGTGGATGTGAGATGACATATCAAGTCCAGTCTAACCAAGTTCCAAATGGTTCAGAGTGGCATTCAGATGGAAGTTACTTTTACTTTGGGTCCAGATGGTGTTAGCTTAGAAAAATTTCCCTGAGTTTATTTGTTTTTTAAATAAAAAAGCATTAAGTCACTGAGTAGGAAGTTCTCTTATGCCAGAGAACTAGGGTGTCACTGCTCTGAAGAAATGATCTGTTTTCAGGTAAAAGCAACATTCCTATGACCTACTGTATCTATAGTTTCAATATCTCCAGGAATTACCCTTCACACCAGGAGTCCAAGAAAAACCAAGACATACTTTCTCTTTTTCTTGTTCACCCTGAATGCAAAAGTTATATAATTTATTCATTTTTGACCTGGATAAATGTAATGAAAGAAATGAAACTGAATTGGTAATCAGGAAAAGTAAGAGTATGTCCCTGAAAAGTTAAATTGGCAAGCGAAGGAATATAGTATGCCAGGAACCAATGGCAAGATAAAACTTTGGTGGATGTGAACCTGAATAGGACTTGTTGTAATTCCTCTTGAAGACTTGGTGTCTTTTCCTGAGAAAATCCTAAGCCTGACCTCTCTCAGTGCTATTTTGTTAGGATGAACTCAACTAGTATATACATAAAAGTATCCATTGTCCAGAAGGCATCTAATAAATGGTAGTCCTTTCCTTTTATTACCCCCTCTTTCTCACTCAAGAGAGCATATTTTTGGAGAGGGCTATACCTGTGGGCTTCAGATCAAAAGGAAGGAAGGAATTCCTCTGAACTTTTTGCCTCAAGATTTTAGCAACCATAGACAGATGCTTTTCTTTTTTATAGTTGCATCTATATTCCCCAAATATAGAAATAATGCAATTGCTTCTATCACACCTTCTAAAAAGATTGCTCCCTGAACTACTCAGATAATGGAGCCAAAGTGCTGTCGTTTCCTTAAATCATTTGATTTTCTTTGTCTAATGTTCCTCATGCCCACAATACCAGTTCAGTCATTAAGGGAATTTTAATAATAGTTCTCATAATTAGGTTTCCTGGAAGACATTAAAAAAATCATGTAAAATTCTACAAGTTGTGTTGAAAGTATAATTCTGTAATTATACTCGGTCTAGTGGTTAGTAAAGCCTAAACTGTTTTAAGAAGAAATTTCTATTCACTGGCATATCCTTTCCAAAGTTCATATTACAAGTTATGGAATTTAATTAGTACTTATTTAGCTCCTGAATTGGAGAGAGAGGCTGGGAGGTTAAAAGAGAAGCACAGGGAACTCCATTGATACAGTTTGCCAAGGGAGAGTAGAAAAGGCAGGAAATTTCCTGGCTTCTAAAATATTTCAGAGGCAAAACTGATGGGTGGAGAGAAGGCAGATTGATGAACAGGAGCTCACAGGTGAAAGGATTGGTGTCACCATGCTGAGTGCCAACATCTCTCTCCACAGCTTTCTGAGCATGTGTGTGTGCATAGACTGTGGCACGGTGGCCAGGCGGTGCCTCAGTGTCCAGTGCTGTGGGCAAGGGGGCAAGGGGCTGAGGTGGCAGTGAGGGTGCCAAGAAGGTTCTGAATCTGGTAGCACCCATCAATGAGGTGTTCATTCCTGGTCAGAAGGGTTCTTGGATTGTCCTCTTCTGACCCCAAAGGAAATAGGGCCTGGGATCCATCTCGGTGTTCTGGAAAATTGAGGAGATGCTGGCCTTGGTGACTTGTTTCCACGATACACTGAGGGTGAAAGAAATCATTATATTCCCCGGGACCAGAGCCCTTGAGAAGAACCTCAGGCATCTGACGATCATCCCTTTCCTCTTCCCTGCTTAGATGAGTTCTCAGGCCTGGAGACAGACACAGCCATACCCACAGAGGAGGCCTATGTCATATATGATGAAGGTGAGGGCTGACTTCAGATACTTAGACATCATTCCTGATGTCAGGCAGGATCTTATTTTAATTACTGTGATGATCTTGATAATAGTTTCTTTTAGGAATGGTGCTGGGGAAGGTGGTTCTAACTTCCTCCTTGCAAGTCACCCCTAATGCATATTTGATCTAAGAAAGACGGCATGCCTGGTATGCAAACGTAGTTTCACAACAAGCTTCAGGAGTTCTCACTCCCACCCTTCTCCTTTAAAGAGATTCCTGTGCTGCTCCCCCCACCTCTATTTGTAAAATAGAGCTATTATTCTGACCTCTTCAACCCTTTTCTCTTTATTACTAATTAAATAAAAAGGTGATGCTGTAGATTTGATTTACCACAGAAGCTTTTCAAGGTAAGATTAAGAATACATCTGGGTAACATCTGGAACAGTCTCTAGCAATGGTAACTAATTCCATTGTTATTCTTAAAACCCTGGGATGCTGTGCTTTCTAAATTGCTTCTGCAGTTGAAAAGTTAAGGGGGACTCCTGTCTCCACTGCGCTCAGGGCCTTGACACCTGGGCTTTGAATGCTCTCAGGAAGTACTGTGCCTTGCCACAGCCATTGCTAGCCTGCTTGCCTTGCATCACAACTGTGTGAGTAATGCCACCTTTGATGCTTTATTTATTCATAATGAAATTTGTTACAGTGCTTTAATCCCATTGGCTTTTCAAATAAAAATGACTTAAAAGCAAAACAGATGTTAGGAAGCAAAGGAAGACTTCTTAGCACCTTTGAAAGTATTAAGTATTTCTTATCCTTGAACAGTTGAACAGTTTCTTTTCTATTTATTTTTTTGTTTGTTTGCTGTTTTGGTACTGGGGATCGAACTCGGGACCTTGTGATTGCATGGCAGGCAGCAGAACCACTGAGCCAAATCCCTGGCCCTCTTTTCTTTTTTATATGTGTTAAAAAGATAATATCTCTCAAGTTCTCTTAACAGCATTAATTCTACTTTTTCCTACAGAGTGAAGTGCATCCACAGAAGATAGATTTTTTTAAAATTAAAGTTTGTTTTCTGATGTGACCTTTTATGGCTCTAAAAGAGAAAATTAGGTTAAAAAAAATGATGATCTTGAGCCAGTAACATGGCTGGATAGATTGTAAGGGTCTTTCCAGCTCTGATCTTAAGACCTCATTTTTTGTGGACATATGTATTTATTTTTCTTCCTGTCTTTTTCTGTGCAGCTGTTGTTGTAAGGGAACCAAAAATGGAGAGAAAAAATATTTTAGTAGAAACTAATTATGTTTAGGCACAGCAATTAATTTAGTGTGTGTGTGTGTGTGTGTGTGTGTGTGTGTGTGTGTATGCAAGCACATGATAGGCTCTAAAATGGAATTTTAAGAAAATATCTTTTGACTGTCAACATTTCCCCTTTTTTGGAAGTGCCTTATTGCAAAGCTTTGGTATCCTTTCAGACTATGAATTTGAGACCACATGGCCACCAGCCACCACCAAGCCCACCGCCAAGCCCACCACCATGGCTACAACTCCTAAGGTCCTCCCAGAGGAAGGCTCCATCAATTCTTTTCCTGAAGAAGAATTTGATCTGGCTGGGAAGAAACGATTTGTTGGTAAATATAACTTCTTAACCAGAGAAACATGGTTTTTAACTTCTGTCCTTTGAAAAGGAGCATAACTAATCTCTTGCGCTGGCCAAGGCAGTGCATTTTGAGAAGAACTTTTCCTGGAGTGAAGTTTCCATTTGGAACCATTTATCCAGGCAGCCCTATTTAGTTGCATGTTAATGTGCCTTCTGCAAAATTCAGAAGAAGGGTGAGTGCAGGAGAACACTTGGTGTCCAATAGGGGAGAGTTTAGTGAGGAACACTTACAAATTAGTGAGGCCAGAGAACAAGAGTATTTTTATGGTAGCCAGTCTTTCTAAGACAATAATCATTTATCACTAGGCCTTGTCTGCATATTATTTGTGAAATTCTTCCTAAAAGGTTAGTAGCTTACTGAATGGAGCCATAGCAGGGAGCATTACAGAATCAAATCTATTTTTTTTTCAAATATTTTGTGTAATTTTCATTAGCATCAAGGACTTGGGATCTTTCTTACAATTAAAACATGACTAACAGGAAAGTCTGTGTAGTTTAAATGTGTTTCATTTTCTTCCCAAGTCTCCTTTTCCCAGGCCCCTAATGAACTTCACTAATGAGATGGTTGGATGAATATGTTAGTAAGTGGAGACAAGCAACAGCTTAAATTAATATCATGCTTTTCTGTTTCCAAAATAAATGTCCTGCCATGAACACAGAACAAGTTTTGCCAGCCAAGATGCAATGATTGAGTGTGTGAGCCCCAAGAACTTGAAGAACAAGGCTGCGAAGTTGAAGTACTTGTTCCTCAGGCCCTGCCAGTGCTTGTCCATGGCGGGCAGCGGCCCAGTGGAGTTCACCAGAGGCTCAGACTTTCTTCTTAACAGCTCCATGGCAGAAATAGAAATGCTTTCCATGCTATTATTAGTTCTTCCAAAGCACTCTTTTGAAGAAGAAATACTTGCTACTGTCTGACTGTTTTCTTATGTTCATAACTCCAAAGGGCATAGTAGCCTCCTCTCCAAAACTTCCAGGAGAGATCCATGGGCAAGACTAAAGGTTTAATTCAGCACTAATTATTGGAAAATGGGAGAGCTAAAAATTGCACTCAGTCCTAACAGCCATTGCGAATGAGAACCTAGCACCAAAGATGCAATGGGCTGTTTAGAAATTACTAGGCATTGTTATTGGAGAGCACTGAGAGTTTCCCATATATAAAACCTCAACCTCAATTTCTTGGCATTTCTAACTTCTTAAAGAGTGAGATGTAATAAAAAGAACCCTGGGCCTGAGGCAGAGTCTCCTGTTTGGTTCTTGCTTGTGGGCACATTCTCTCATTAGGAGGCTCTGCTGTAATTGGTACCTACCCATTTCCTATCTGATTCCAAGGCCCCTTATAGCCCTGGAGGTTAGATGTGTAGGAAGAGCTTCAGCATGTCCATAATGGGGGTTCCATAATTGTGAGTACCTATTAGACTGAGCAGTGATATTGTAGAAGGCTGCTCAGGCCTGGCTTTATGCATAGACATCCCAGAGGATTGTGGGGTTTGTGAAACTCTAGGAGAAGCCACCCAGGGCTGAGGGGTCAGGCTGTCTTCTTTGATAGGTGCATATATTTCTCTGGTCCCAAGATAGTCAGAGATATGAAATATAATGAAAGAATGCTAGTTGACTTTAGGGTGGGCCTGACTCACACTTTTGGGCATAGGAATGGTGGAATGCTACAGGCTCACATTGAACTACAGTCTGGGAGTCTTTCAAAATCATTTGAGGACACAGTCATTAATGTTGATAGGGAAATATAATCTTTTGCAACTACCCGATTGTAAAGTATGAACACATGGGTCTGTGAAGTAGAGGGAGAGTGTTTTTCAGTTTGGTGTCAGGACTGTTGGCTTGGGAGTCTGTTTGTCAGGAAAGGACTGAATGGTGGGTCTGACTCCAGGGAGCAGATGCTGTGTTTCTAATTGGGTATCTCTCTGTTCTTTTCCAGCTCCTTATGTTACATACCTGAGTAAGGATCCATTAGCCCCATGCTCTCTAACTGATGCCTTGTACCATTTCCAAGTGGAGAGCTTGGATGAAATCATTCCAAATGACTTGACAAAGAACGACCTGCCTCCTCAGCATGTCCCACGGAACATTACTGTGGTTGCTATGGAAGGCTGCCACTCATTTGTCATTGTAGACTGGGACAAAGCCACCCCTGGAGATGTGGTAACAGGTGTGTCCTATGCAGATTTTCAGTTCCCTTTAATCTGTAGATGGGAAATACAGACAGTTAAAGATGGATAGATGAATGGATGGATGTTAGATACATGGGTTGAATGGTGAATGCAGGTGTCTTTTCTCAATGAGATGAAATGTAGGCAGCAATGGAAGGTTCACTGGATATTGTAAAGAGCACTGGAATAAAGTCAGAAGTTTTGAATCCTAGTCCAAATAGGTTTGCATGATTTTGAACTAGCTACTTCATTTTCTTGAGTCTTGGTTTTCTCATATGAAAGTAATCCTGCCAGTGACCTGCTAGCCCAGAGAGTCATTTGTGAGATCAGATCCTACAGCAAGGATAATGAAGGAGCTTCTATTGAGCCATAACTCTGCCTCTTTCCCTGTTTTCCTGTGACTGGCTGCTTCCAAATTAGCTTGGGTGCTTCCCAGTTCCTTATGTGGGAATGGAAATCATGCAAAAATGCCCATGAATGTTGAGCCTTCATGCCTTGGCCTGTGAGATGTTCATAAGTACATGTGTGTCTGAGGTTAAGTCACTGAAATAAGTTCTAACGCAAAGAGAAATGATATTTTATTTGAATTATCCCTTCTTTTGCTAATGATTCTTTCTGGGCCTGTGAGCTCTATAGGAGGAAGGCATGTATGTATGGCTGTTTATGCATCTTGAGCTGGTGGGGATGGTATTGAGTATTGGATCTGAACATTGTCTATCACTATCATACTAGTGAAATTCATGTAATTCTAAATTTCTAATGTTTTTGCTGTAATCTCCAATATTGTCTTTTAAAATTAGAAAACATAACCAACAACAGCCAAAGAGTAATTTTCCTTAGAAAAGGGCACTTTGGAGTCCCAAATCCAGGAAAAAAGACAGAGGAAATAATGCTCCTGGACATTTTTTCAGGCATGGATTGAGGGGTGTGTATAGGATTAAGGATTTGAGTTTTTGTTGTGTCTAAAAGTTCTGCTTACCTCATGGTTTATACAGAGATCAATTTCTGTGAAGATTTCTGCATATTTTTTTTAAAAAGCAAATCAATGGAAGGAGGAAAGTTTATATCAAAATAGTCAGAAAATTCCTTTATTAATTGAATATGGTATTATGAATAACAATTTTAAAGGCAAGCAAGTAAGCACACAGAAAAAGAATGGAAAATCTGTACGTGTATGTATATATATATGTGTGTGTGTGTGTGTGTGTGTGTGTGTGTGTGTGTGTTTGCATTTATTTATCTTTTGAGACAGGATCTTGCTATGTATATTAAACTGGCTCTGAGCTCACTATCTAGGTCAGACTGGACTTGACCTCATGATGATCACCTTGTCTCAGCCTTCCGAGTGAGTGATGGGACTATAGACATGTGTACAAAATTTTATTTTTGAGCTCCTTAGCTTTTGACCTCTCGTGTAACAGATACTTATTTACACAAATGTGCCACTTCACTCTGAGCTTTGGTTTCTTCTCATCCTGGCTTCAAGCTAAAAGTGTTGGTCACATTAAAGGTATATCAAGAGGTATTGGAGCAAAGAGCAAGCCTTTTGAGACTCCCATCAAAATGTCTCTAGACTTGATTCAGATGCAATTTCTCAATTAACCTGTAGAAGGTGGGCGGATGAACCACTTTCCCATTAACTTTGCCATTGCTCATGCATTCCAAGTTCCCCAAAGCATCCAAGAGACTCCAGTGTCCTCACATTATTCACATACCCTACATCTAATCCAAAAATGGTGCCTCAGTGCCCCAATCATGAGTACTGACAGATGAAACATTTATGGGGATTTGAGTATTCCCAGTATTAAGTTTTGCCAGCTCTTTTCAGCCTAATTATGGTGGAACATTTCAATGCATGGTGTCTCTGAGTATAGAGAGATGGTAGTGAGAGCTCTTCATCAGTAAGTGAATTAAGCACTGTCTCTTCTCCATGCAGAAGAGAGAAACTAAGTAAATACACAGATACATCCCCAAACTAAATAGACATTACATGATACATGATGGGGACCCACTGCAGGGCATTTGAATTTGGTGGCAGTGTGAGCTTACACTACTGAGTTTTGTATGCCATTCCTTTTCTCACAAGCATCCAAGTCACAGTGTAACAAGGTGGCATCCAAACAATATGAAACCTCCTGCAACTGCTTGCTTTCTCAAATCGCTCCCCTTGAATCATGTGGTCTCTTTATTAGGCATGATTCTGTGGGAAATTAACAACATGATGACTTCAGTATCCCAGGACCAGCTTGTCAGTCAATCCACTGCAACTGGGTTTAGTAAGAACAACAGAGTAATCAGAAGTTACACTGTGCTTAGCAAATACATTAACAAAACCTGGAATCCTCAAAAACCAGATACGAAGATCAGCAGACATCAGAAGCATATAGGCAGCATGAAATTCTGATGGGAGCTAAAGGTCAAAGAATCTGAGCTATATCTACCCCTGTCAAAGCCGAATTTCCACGGCACAGACATAAGCCTCAGTGTACTACTGCCTGGGCCTTTGTATGCACAACACATGGGCAAGGATGTATTGTATGACTTCACTGTTGTCATAGGAGGAAGGATTTCTATAGAAAAAGTAGCACTTATATTAGTCAGCTTTCCATCACTATAACAAAATTCCTGAGATAATTAACTTATAAAGAGAAAAAGGTTATTTTGGCTTATGGATTTGGAATTTCCAGGCCAATATCAGATGGGCCTATTGCTTTTAGCAATTGCAAGGAGTTTATGGTAGAGTAAAGCTGCTCACCTTATGGCCAGAAAGCAAAAGGGGAAAGAGGAAGAGCCCAGGCCTTTTTCAGGGCACATCCCAATGACTTAGGGGCCCTTCACCTGGCTCCATTTCCCAAATGTTCTAACTTTTTCAGTGGTGCCAGCCTGGGAACCAAGTCTGTAAGACATGGACCTTTACATGGACCATTAAGGGACACTTATGCAAACTATAGTAGCCTTACTTCATGGGTTTGCACAAAGTATTTGTTGAAAAATATAGAAAAAGACTCTTTCCAGAAAGCACTGTGGGAAGGGTTTCAGAGCCAGATCCACCTGGCTCCTGGTGCCATTTTACCCATTTGTTAACTGTGGTGTGATGCTAGTTGTGTGTACCCATAGGCTACTAAATAAAACAAAGTTTATGTCTTAGATGCATTTGATGCTATTGATCTTCTTCTTCTTGACTTTCATGTCCTAATTCATGTCCATCGTGGTAGGTCAGCCTTTCTTACACACGATCTTGGAGGTCCATGTACTGTTCCTTCAGGGCACTGACCACAGCTGTACAATTCTGATTGTGCACCCTACTGCCTCTTGAATTCTTGTCCACCATTTTATTTGAAGGATTTAGTATAGGGACTGACAAAAAAAGTTGCATATTTTTAAATTAGTGAATGTGAACTTACCAAGGCATTTAACATACTTCTAAGACTCAGTTTATTCACATGTCAATACCTACAATATCTACAAACAAAAATCATAAGAATGAGTTTAAGTAGTTGAGGGTGCTCATCTGTAATCTGAGCACACTGGAGGCTGAAGCAGGAGGATCAAGAGTTTGAGCCCAGCCTGGGCAACTTAGTGACTTAGTGAGATCCTATATCAAAATATAAAAGTAGAAAGGGCTATGGATTTAGCTCAGTGAAAAGGTCTTGCGTTCAGACTTCAATACCTGTAAAAACAGAGAATGAATTTAAATAAAACTTAATTGAAAGAGCTTAACATAGTCTGTGACACCTAGGAAGTACTTGAAAAATGTTTCCTTTTGTGTACACAAAGGACACATTGAAATGTGGCACAGACTTCACTTTGTCTTCTTGAAGCTGTGCAGGTGTCGGGGGTTAAGGCCCACTCGGAGAAGTCTGTTCTAACAAATATGATAGAGGAGGCTGGATGATAGGAAGAAAAGCAGGCCACATCTACTTACCTAGCATTTACTGTCAACATTCTTTTTGTGTGAAGGGCAATTATATTATTTGTGTGGAGGTCTCTGTCTTTCTCTTCTGCTTGATTTTTCTCTATCTGGTCAAGAGTAGATGTGATTAGTTCCAAGGAGTTGAGGAAGGCTGGAGAATGAAGGAGAGACAGAGAATGAAGAGGTAGGGAGCCAGGTGGTCATCAGGAAGTGTTATGATTTTGTTGCATCCATCTGGATTGACGAGAAGGCACTAAGGTTTCATCCCATCCTGTCTCCTCTCACTCCAGAAATTCTCCCATTGAGCTGCCTGTGTGTGTTGCCTTATCCCAGTCACACCTCTGTCTGATTGGTTGCTGGATGTTCATTGGGTTCCTTCCTATTCCTATTTCCAGGCTACCTGGTCTACAGTGCATCTTATGAAGACTTTATCAGGAACAAGTGGTCCACTCAAGCTTCATCAGTAACACATTTGCCTATTGAGAACCTGAAGCCAAACACACGGTATGATACGTCAGTTATTTAGAAACAAACAACAACAAAAAAAATGAGATCTATTTGTGTGGTCATAGATACCCTTTGGTTGAAAATGACTGAAACACATTTTTGTAGAATATCATTGAATAATATCCAAGTGTCACATTTTTTCTTTTATTGAGTTTATTGGTATATTTTAGGTATACAGTGCAGTTACATTCATTATTGGGATCTTGTATCTTTCTTTACATGATAGGTGGTCTTGGTTATCACTTTTTCTCCTTGTCCCTGCCCTCCCTTCATCCCCTCTTCCCCTACCCACTTACAAACACTTTATTTCCATTTTTTCATTTTCTCATATTTTTTCCCTTATTACCTTTCCCCTACCCATCCCACTTTCCCTACACCTTTAGCCATTTTCTTCCCATTTTACAATGTCGGTTATCTCATTAGGATCTTATGTACTATTACAGTTTAATCACACCAGAGAAACTATTTGGTATTTACACATGCATGACTTATTTATTTCACTTAGGAGTATACCCTCAATATGTATCCATTTTCCTATGAATGACTCTAATTTTGCATTCTTTATGGCTGAGTAGTATTCCATTTTATAGAAAAACCACACCTTCTTTAACTAATCTCCAAGTGATGGGCAGATGGGCTGTTTCCAAGTTTTAGCTATTACAAACTGTGCTGCTATAAACATAGATACACATATATCACTGTGATATGATTCTTATAATTCTTTAGGAAAGATACCCAGCAGAGTGATGGCTGGGTCAAATGGAACCTCTAGTCCCAGCTCTTTGAGGTGTCTCCGTATTGATTTCCATATTGCTTGTACCAGTCTGCACTCCCACCAACAATGGAGAAGGGTTCCTTTCTCCCCTCAACCCCACCAACATTGATTTTTTGCCTAGATGATCTATCTATTTGTGAATGTGGGATATTTAGATCCTCCACTAAAATTGTATTAGTGCTTATTTGGTTTTTCATGTTTCTTAATATTTGTTTATATAGTTGGGGGCATTAATATTTGGTGCATATATGTTTATGATTGTCATCTCTTCCTCTTGAATTGTTCCCTTTACAAGGATGTAGTGGCCTTCTTTGTCTGTCTTAATGAGTTTTGGTTTGAAATTTACTTTGTCTGCGAATAAGATTGCTACCCCTGCTTTTTTCTGTGCTCCTGTCATGTGGAGAATTGTTTCCCTTCCTTTCACTTTCAGTCTATGGGCTTCTTTTTGCAGTAGTTATGTTTCTTGTATACAACATATTGTATCTGCCAGTCTGTTTCTCTTGATTGGTGAATTGAGGCCATTGACATTAATGCTTATAACTGATATGTACTGACTTATTATTGTCAAGTTATTGTCCTTTTGTTGAATCTTTTTAATTTTTGCCCTCTCCTTTTAGTTTCTTGCCTTGCCTATTTGATTTGGTCTCTTGGGCCTCATGGTGTTGTGACCTTCATTGTCTTTTTCTAGGATATTGTTTAGAATTCCTTGTAGTGTTGGTTTGGTGTTCATGAAGTTTCTGAGGCATTCATCGTCATGGAAATATCTTATTTCCTCATCCATTTTGAAAGATAGTTTTACAGGATACATCAGTCTAGGCTGGGGGTTGTTTTCTTTTAGGATTTGAAATTCTTCACTCCAGGCTCTCCTTGACCTGAGGGTTTGTGTTGAAAAGTCTGCTGTGATTATGATGGGCTTTCCTTTGCATGTGATCTGTTTCTTTTCTCTTACTTCTTGTAGTATTTTTTTTCTTCTCTTGGGTTTCTGAGACCTTGATTGTTATATGGTCACATGTTTTGCTTAGGAGGAATTACTATATACACTGCAATTTGTAGGGTATTATATCTCTATTTCATCACCTATTTTCCTAAATACTGCCTACTATTAGGAAAAGAAAAGTCCTGGTTGTTGAAAGGAAGTCGATCTAGTTTTAGTCACCAATGCATTGGTATGAAGCAACATAATCTTCATTAGTGGAGTGGCAATTACTAAACATTTCAATTAACTGGTACTCAAACTCTCTGGAAAAAATCCTAATCTAAAGCCTTTTCCAACTTCTGTGGTGTAAGCACTCCCACTATGGCCAACATCAAGCTATCAGTGGCATGCAGAATCCCCATATAGATCATGGTTGCCTCTCACAGGCTCCTACAGATGGCTGCACCACTGCTGTGCTTGCTTGGCAAAGAGCTCAGTGGCATGAAGGTAGACCTGAAGTTTCTCGTTTCTTCCCAGAGGAGAACTTGGTGAAGGTTGGAATGAAACACTCATTAAACAGACATGTGCTTGAGAGGATGGGATCAGGAGAATAGCCCAGGGCTTCTCAATAAGCAGAGACGTCTCTTTGAGACATTTTAATGTACCATTTGGGCTCACTTGAACCAAACTTTCATAAACTTATGAATTTAAAGATCTGGCAAATGAAAAACTGGTAGTAAAACATGAAACCAAGAAAGCATTTTTCCTTGTTTTCCCTGATAGTAATGATAAATTGATCAGCCAGAGGAAAATAAATGACAAAAATTAGAGACAATGATAGTGATTAGGGCAGCAACAGTGCTTTTAGAGCACAGCCACCAAATCAAAAAGCTGAAAGGCACTATCCAGATGTTTTGTCACGTAACCATTGCTGTAGTACTTGAATTGCAATCTCTGACCCCTTCCCCCAAGCTCAAGGCTGTCTCCACAATTTCTGCTGCCATAGTCAATTCACTTTTAAATAATGTTAGGAGATGGTTGTGTAGGATGACAACTCACTCACTCTTGAGATAGTCACTTGTTCCACAATTCATCCAATACAGTCTTCTTGAATGCTTACTCTGGGCTGGGTGCCATATCAAGAACACAGAGTTTAGGGTGTGGGGGTGAAATGCTCCTAGCTCTCATAGACTCTACAGTCTTGTTCTCATAGAGTATACTGGTAGGAGAGACAGAATTATTTATTTCTTGTTTTGGGACAGGGTCTTGCTATATAGCTTAGATTAGCATTGACCTCACCATGTAGTTTAGACTTGCCTCAAACTTGTGGTGATCCTCCTGCCTCATCCTCTCAAATGCTGGGATTACAGGTGTGCGCCACCACATCTAGGATGACAGAATTAAAAAAAAAAGACAACATAAATACAAACTTCTTCCCCTGATTAGTGTCACGAGGGAGAAGTACACCTCCTAGGAAGGTATAGAATAGGGGAGTTCCCCCCCAACAACCTGAGGGCAGAGGAGGTGACTTCCTGCTGAAGTCAATCTAAACATACAAGCAGAAGTTAAGCTGGAGAAAGGCCAGTGGGATGAGGCAAAATTGCTCCTGGCAGATGATTTCCCTAAGCATGAGTGTTCTGGGAAGCACAGGGGACTGAAAGGGAGACTGGATGGATGGCGGGGCCTCTACCCTCTTCAGGCTCTTCTCCATCCTCTCAGGATGTACCCTCATTTGATTTTGGGGATGAGGGCAGACTAGGATGTAGCACACTTGGCTTTCCAACTCAGATGTCCTCAAAACCCACCGAGCAGTGCCTACATTTCACAACCAGGACAGTGTGACTATGATGTGAGGACACTCATTTTTTCTGAGTTACTCAAATTCAGAGTGACTCTGTGGTGTCACATCTGCTGAGGCAGTGTCTCCTGTGCCATCCCAGCCTTCCAGGCTCTGAGGAACCAGCCTCAGAGTTGGCCCAGGGCATGGGAAGTCAGTCTGCACAAAAGAGCCAGAGCCTAACATTCAGCCTTGGTTGTTAATAAATGGATTTTGTTTTTGACTTGAATTGAGCATGAGCTAACTTATTCACCAACTTCAGCCTTAGTCAGTCTCTGGAGTCCACAAGTTTTCAGTCCATTCTTACTGCAACAAAATTTGTCACCACTAAGGCTACTGAAAGCTGCTGCCAAAAGCTTTTGTAAGAAGGTGAGTCCTGGACTGCCGTTGTTGCTTGGATGAGGCAGAGACATATATTAATTGATAGGAAAAGTACAATGTGGTTTTTGAAAGTGGGAATTTTACTCTTTCATAATTTCATGTTTTTTAGCTCAACATATTTAAATTTACTTGGACAGAGTGAACAATGTTCACATGGAAATAAGTCTGTAGATTTAGCACGTGGGGACTTTCTGGAGGACTAGAATCTTGTAGTGTCAAGAGGGAAGGTGGATTTGGAGAATACTTAGGTTTACGTTGTAAAACAGAATAGATACAAATAAATCTGTCTGAATGGCACCTCTCAGCCAGCTGGTCATCCTTCAAGGGTGCTTACTCTGTGGAGTTGGGAACAGTTTTAGGACAATCCCAGCAAGGTCTTGTTCAGTAGAAATGTTGATGTTGCCTCAGAATACAGGCCTTTCCTTATGCTTTAATTTCTTTTTAAGAAAAAAACAGTATCTGTAAAATTCGACCACCATCATTGATGCATGCCAAATCCTCTGCTTGCAGTGCCTGTGGAGCTTTGCCTTAAATCCCTCCACAACCACTGAATAAAAGTGTGCATAATTGGGGAAACACGCCCTGCTGACTGAATTGCGATTTGGAAACACATATGTTCTTAATCATGCATATCTTTTTTAAAGAACTAAAGTTAAAAAAATACTCCTAAATTAGATGTGAATAACTTAAGAAGACCAGTCTTACCAAATGGATTTTCTTTGCTTAATCAAACCCACAGGAAAATATCTCTGTGCACTTTCAGGCCAGGGGCAGCCTCAGTGGTCATCCCTGTTGGCAGGGATGCATTCATGCAATGGGTGGAACCCTTCATCCTCTGCATGTAAAAAACCACACCTTTAAAAGCTTTAGTTCATCTTAAATTAGTACATGTAAGTTTTGTGATTGACTGACTTAATCAAATAAAGAATTTCTAAACATTTAAGTGCAACATTTTTGCTGGCCAAAGCCACAGAAAAAGACACTGAAAAATGCAGAGAATCACCACTCACAGGGATGTTTTACCCTGTCTTTTCCAATATGTGGTGAAGACCCAGGAAAGCCAGATGATAGCTGGAACTTTGGAGGTAAGGAAATCACAAAGTTTGAGACAGATATAGTGGCTCACAACCTTAGTGCTGTCTCCATACTTCTGTAACTTCTGCTTTTTATCTCCACCCCAGAGAGTAAAAAGTGAGATATTTGGGGCATAGTCTCCCTCTGAATGAGCTAGCAGATACAGCAGTGGACTTTCTAGCATACTCACTGTTCCAAAACAGTTTAATCCTATAGCAAATACTTTCTTTCTTTACAGACCATTTCTACTTTTTCTTCCAAGACTCAGTTCTCTTGTCTTGAGAAGCAGAAGTTCATAACTCAGTGACTTGTAGGACATCCATTTATGGATCTAGAGCCAGCCACAGCACTTATCATGGGCCCAAGACATCACTGTCTTGTTAGTTTTGCTAAAGAGGCCCATGTCTGGCCTGGTGGTGCACCCTCCGCCTGCCATTCGTGAGTTGCATTATGGTTGGACACTACGTCCTGCTTCTCTATATGAACTCTAGTGATGAGAATTAAGTTAACATTTCAGTTCTACTCTGCATGTTTTGTTGCGCCAACCTCTTCTTCTTGCCTGAGGAGCTCAGGGATCTGAGTCTTAAGCTGGAAAAGAGCAGATTTCCTTAGGGATGAACTGGGAAAATTCCTCTGAAGTGGTGAGCACATGTTCTTCTAGGGAACATGTACTCTCTGAGCCACCTGTGTGTCTCATGTGTTTGTTCTATTCCCATTGGCCATGTGTCTATGCTATGTTAATTGGACTATTTCAAAAAGTTATTAAAGCTAGAAAGTTTAGAAAAATATGAAGATCATTAGTGATATGAGCATTTATAAATAATGTGTCTCCAAGTCTGCCACTCAGTTGGTGCTCTGGAATATTTCTCATTATACAGAAAGTCACATGATTTTTTTTTTCTTTTAAAAGATGCTTTCTTCCAATTTCAGGTATTACTTTAAAGTTCAAGCCAAAAACCCTCATGGCTATGGACCTATCAGCTCTTCAGTTTCATTTGTTACAGAATCAGGTAACTTCACATTCGTCTTTGTTTTATTTTTCTTAAAACTGAAATAAATAATCTAGGATAATGACTATAATAGGGCAAAAGTTAAAGTAGCAAAATCCTTACATTTCTATTTGATGTGTTTGTGTTGAATGTCTCTTTCTAAAATAAACAGAAATTCTTTTTTTTTTCAGCTTTAATTGAGTTTATTGGTACATTTTAGGGATACAGTACAGTTACATTCATTGTTGGGATCTTGTACCTCTACATGACAAGTCTTGATTCTCATTTTTCCCCTTACCCCTGCCCTCCCTTCAACCCCTCCTCCCCTCCCCATCTACAAACACTTTATTTCCATCTTTTCATTCTCTCACATTTTTTTCTTTTCCCTTATTACCCTTCCCCTACCCATCCCACCTTCCCTACACCTTTAGCTCTTTTCTTCCCATTTCTAAATGTCAGTAATCTTATTAGTATCTTATGTATTATTGCAGATTATTCACACCAGAGAAACTATTCGGTATTTACTCATGTGTGACTTATTTATTTCACTTAGCAGTATATCTTCAATATGTATCCATTTTCCTATGAATGAATCTATTTTCTCTTTCTTTATGGCTGAGTAATATTCCATTTTATAGAAAAACCACATCTTCTTTATCCAGTTTCCAATGGATGGGCAAATGAGCTGTTTCCAAGATTTAGCTATTACAAACTGCCGCTATAAACATAGGTGCACATATGTCACTGTGATATGATTATTTTAATTCTTTTGGAAAGATACTCAGGCTCTAGAAAAATTCAAAACAGAAATAATTTCCTATTTCTTTTTTATTCTACAGACAATCCTCTCCTTATTGTGAGGCCTCCAGGTATGTTTCTCTTCTTCAGGTCTCGACAGGACACTTTGATTATCAAAATCAATATGGAATATGAGATTGCTGTGATTAGTCACAAGTAGAAATGCTAGACCAGTTTTGACTTTTCATAATATTTTGACAATTTATGCTCATCTTCCATCTTAATCTATAGAAAAAATGACCTGGGAATTTTTAAATAAGCCTATAGCAGTCAATATCTATGAAAAAGCATGATGGGGTAACTAAGTATTGTGAATAGATACTTTATTTACACAACCACGGAGAACATCTTAGATTCCTGGAAAGATAACAATATGCATTAAGTATACAGTGAAGTTTTACTTTTTCCCCCCATACAAACTGAGAAATCTCTATTGTTTAAGATTAAGGCTGGATTTAGGCGGGGCAAGAGGAGAAGGAGTCTTTACTGAGGGATAGGGATCTTAGGAATAGGAATCTTTTGCCATTGTAGCTGATTTGCCCTGAAGTGTCAAGCTGTCTTTAACTTGGGGAACCCTTTATTGAAATACAAATACCTTTAGTAAGTATGCTCGCATAAAAGGAGCCCACCCTCAGTTGCTCTTTAGTACTGAAAAAGAAGAGGGGAGATAAAGGGGCTTCTCACTGGGGATGGGAAAAGGAGGCCCTGCAGGAAGGGAAGGGGAAAATGAGTAAGACCAGTTTTGGATACTTTGTGCAAGAATAAACACTATGAGCTACTGTCACTTAGAGGATGTGCTTTGTGTCTTCAAGGAGGTGAGCCCATCTGGATCCCATTTGCTTTCAAATACGACCCAGGATACACAGACTGCCACGGCCGGCAGTACGTGAAGCGGACGTGGTATAAAAAGTTTGTTGGAGTCGTTCTTTGTAATTCACTGAGGTACAAAATCTACCTCAGTGACAACCTGAAAGGTAGGTCTTTGGGGATGGTTGGCTATGGTAGGTATGGAACATTTTGATCTTGCAGGAGCTAACTTAACACAGTCGGTACCTCAGAATGTACCCAAGGCTTGATGTTATGACTCCCTCTTGCTGAAATAAGAAGCAGTTGGTAGGCTTTGAAGTTACTAGTTTTTACCTTGTCACTCAAAGATGTGGCTTTAAAACTCAACTATACTTTAGGAATGAAGCCCAAAGTTCTGCTAGGTATGTACAAACCTATTTTCTTTGCTATCGATTCAAAATAAGTATAAGATGGAAGGATTGAACAGTCTACGCTATAACCCACAACTTCACAGATATAAAATTAAATGATAAAACATATTTCAGCAGTGCTGTTTGTTGTGTGTCAGAAGAAAAGTCACATTGAGAGTACAATAAAGAGTGATTAGCATACCTCGAGCTACTAATACTTTGAAATGCCATTTCTACTCAGCTGGCTTTGGCTCACCCACCTACACCAATTTTTTTCTTTTAATTTAAAACCTCACATAGCTTTTAATTCTTTAAATGTTTTGTAAATAGTATTTTGTAAATAAATATTTTAGGCTTTCACTCATATCATTCAGTGGATCTAAGTTTTATCACTGGTTAGTTTTTTACTTTTCTTTCTCTTACTAGCTAGGATCATTTAAAAATAGTGTCAGCCAGGCATGGTGGCACATGCCTGTAATTCCAGCCCTTGAGAGGCTGAAGTAGGAGGATCATTTTGAGCTTGAGATATGTCTGGACTACATAATTAGTTCAAAGCCAGCATGAAGCACATAGTAAGACCCTGTCTCAAATAAAAAAAGAGAAATAAATAAAGGAAGGAAGAAAGAAAGTAAAAACAGTGTGCAAACAAAATATCTCCCTGCTTCATCCTCATCCCCCTTTCTGGCAATTTCCATGTTTCTGCTTTTCCTCAAAATCACTGCATGTTTTTGTTTCTCTGTTCTTTCCTTTCTCTTCCACTCTTTCCTCCCATTCTTCAGAACTGCTAGGAGAGGTTGCACATCTCTGGTATCCCAGGGAGGAGACACGACTTTGCCCTATTATGCTGCTGTGGTTCAGGACCACGGACAGCGCACGGAAACAGACCCTTCTATTTACACAGACCTTCCTGCATTTCATAATTATTGCACAATTTATTCTTTATCATAGTTTTCTTCATTCTATTTCTTAACTGAGGCATTAAAAAGTTCAATCATTTATAGGCTAAAACTGCCTATTTTGTTTATACTTTCTAACTTCTGAACATTTGTTAAGTATTTGGCATTCATGATCTTGCTGAGTCCTTACAATGCTTATTGAAGTTATTGCCATTGTCACCACTTTCAGACATGAAAGAATGTAACACACAGTTTAAGTAATGCACCCAATTCACGTTCTTTAAAGCTTGTTCCAACTCATAAGCCAGCTGCAACAGTCTTTGACATAACACTGACCCATTACATTCCTTTATGCAGATACATTCTACAGCATTGGAGACAGCTGGGGGAGAGGTGAAGACCATTGCCAATTTGTGGATTCACATCTTGATGGACGAACAGGGCCTCAGTCTTATATAGAAGGCCTCCCTAAGATTCAAGGTAATATGACCAATGCCTGCTATATTGTGCTGGGCAAGGGGCGTGGGAGAGGAATATGTAAGAAGAAAATTCATTGCTGCTCTGCCTTTGGTTTATGATTTGAAGACAGATGTTGGGAATACTTTGGTTGATGAAAATATAAATAAGAAATCAAAGAATCAAAATACTCCATCATATGCTGGATTTGGGTGATCCTTGAGGAGTTTGGGGTACAAAGGAATGTGTAAGATCTCTGTCCCCAGGAACATTCCTTGTAACTGGGAAGAGAAAACAAATATGTGAAAAGATAATTAAAAGCAAAAACATTAACATATAGATAATGACATATTGTGATTTATGATCATCCTGTGGCAGATAATTGTGTATGTTACCATCATTTTAGGAAGGAGGCAGCTACTTGGGGCTGTCAGGTATCTGGAGGAGAGGCAGAGTCTAGACTGAGTCCTAAAGACTGGCTGAATGTGCAGAACAGAGGGCCTCCCTTGGCTGGTATGAGTATAAGGATAGAAGAGGCAAAGATGAATGTGTAAACCTACTCACTAGGAAAGGCTTCAGAGATAGTGTACCATATCTGATGATGATATTATAAAGTGAGGGCACTGACATTTAGGGTCAGCAACTAGAAATACATTGCTAACTGTCTAAATCCTCTAAGTAAACAAGTAAACAGAATTATGGAAATCCAGCACCTTTTCATTTAAGCACTCAACTCTTATTAATGTGGCATTTTGAGGACATGAGATGTGTTGGTATACCAAGTTTCTTATTTTGGAAAAAAATATTGTAGGCTAGTTCATGAATTAGTCATTTGAAAGAATTAAAACACATAAAACAATAAAACGAGTGTATCAAAGCTCTCTGATCTAGATAAACAGACCAGTAGGATTTATCTATCGAGAATTAATTTAAGGAGTTGGCTCATGTCACTGTGGAGGACAGCAGCATTGAAAATCTGCAGAGTAAGGAGGCAGGCTGGAGGCTCAGGGAAGAGCTGGTATTACAGTTCAAATCTGAAGGTTACTGGAGTCAGAATTCTCTATACTTTTTAGGGTTAGGTGTATTAAGTATTTTTCTTTTAAAACTTTGAACTGGTTGGATGAAGCTCATCCATGTTGTAAAGGGATTAATGTACTTTCCTCACTCTGCTGTTGGAAATTTTACTCTTATCTAAAAATACTGTAATGATTAACCAGTATTCTGACTGTCAGAGTAGCAAGTAGCCATTTATTTGGCAGGAATAAACAAATCCAAGAGTGAGAGTGATTGCTAAATCTCTCAAAATTTTGAGGAGGTTGGAGCATCCCTTCTACTCCAAAAGAGAAGTGACCAGAAGTTCTATGGGATTCTGTCCTTCAAGAGATTTCCTTGAAAGGTGTGAGTGTCTGCCCCAAATTCTATGTATTAAAACATGGAGTTTTGAGGTTTGGCAAGTTGCAGGCCCTAAACTCAGTGAGGGCCAGGTGGGAATCTTGTTTGGTGTTGTTTACCCGGATCAGGGTCTGTCCCCTGTGAGGGCTTCTCGTGATTGGCTGAAATTATCTTCTTTTGTAGGGAGAGAGAAAAAGAGGGACTGAATTCTCCCCACATATCATGATTGTGTAAATTTCACAAAAAAGGCTGTGTTTCTTCAGAAGTAGCACTTTCATAAGAACAGTTTACATAAGGTTTCTGTCTAAAGGAAGATTTTAAGGAGAAGTTTTCCTGTTGGCTCAGGAGACTTTGATGCATCTTCTTCCCCTTTTTTCTCATCACCTTCCCAGGTTACTACCGTCAGTATCGCCAGGAGCCTGTCAGCTTTGGCCACATCGGCTTTGGCACCCCATACTACTATGTGGGCTGGTACGAGTGTGGGGTCTCCATCCCAGGAAAGTGGTGACCACAGGAACAACCTGCACTGCAAGTTTGTCTGCTCAGCCTCATCTGCTCACTCGCACTAGGGGGATGCGAACAGGAGAAAAACAGCGTCCCAAGCCCCACTGCACCTGAGTGTCAGGAAGGCCACACAATAGACATTGGACATTGTGGTCATCTTCAGTCTGGAGCCCAGTCCCGTTTTTGACCTGGAATATGAACAGAGGGGAATGCAGTTTTGCTGAAACTTCAGTTTTTCACATTCTTTTTATTAGCACATCCCAGGGACATCAGAAACCGTAGCTGATCCAGTATGATTTCCAGACTCTTAAGGCAAAAAATTCAGACACTCCAGAATCTCCAGGGAACAGTATAAGCATGCATAAGCATGCTTGCTTCATAGAATGCTTTCATTTCTCTCATTTTCAACTCCCCCCAAACCAGTGGAATTTAAGCTTCAAATCTTTGTATGCAGAACTGAATAAAAAACACCGCCCAAGGAAATATACCTTACTTGAGATTTATTCTACGGACTCACACACTGCTAGACTAAATGCATAGAATCTTATTTGTAAATTCTCAATTTTGATATATATATGTATATATGCGTATGCATATCCACACTTGTCTGCAAGAACATTGATTAAAATGCTAAATTTGTACTTGTTCACTAGATAAATGTGTGCTTTACTTTTTGGACAAGGGCACTATTTACTTTCTTCTTTTAGATGTGTCCTGGGCATAGGTCCTCTGCAGAATGTAGTGTCAGAAGAAAGGTGTGGACTCTTCCCGTGGGTGCTGCTGGGCTCTGGTGATGGTGGGGAGGCAAAATACTGTCTGTGAATAGCTATGCTCTTTATTTCCCTAAAACAAATGCTTTCCTCCCAAGGAGGCTGTCTTTCCATTTCTATGGGAAAATGTCTTCCATGCCTCTATCAGGATCTATCTTGTATGCTTCCAGATGGAATAAGATTTTAGGTCTCAAGTGATATTCACAGTTTTTTGTTTTTAAAAATTCTTTTTCCTATTTGTTCCTTTCTCTGCATCTACTCCTTGAAACAGAAGCACCTTCTCTCTCTTGAGTGTAGCGCTAGAGTTTATTTAGGCACTTTGATCTAATTGTTTTTGAAACATGCTGCTTTTTACCTGTATGTGGCTCACCCAAGTCCCTCTGGCAGCTCCATGGAATGAAGGGTTTGTGCTCTTGCATCAATGTATAAGTGTTGGAGAAGCAGTGGTGGAGATAGACTGGAGGCAGACATTGTTCTGGGGCCTCTGGGCTGCATCCAGGGTAAACCATTGGGCAGCAGAGCACAGTCCTGGAATCTGGAATTGAATATTTTCAGTGCCAGCACTGCACTGAGGTGAAACCTCATATCTGGTAGTTTTTATGGTGAAATTTACAAGGAAACAAAATTTCAGGGTCTTTGTCATGGGTCTGTGATGTTGGGCATTCTCAAATTCTTCCATCCCCTTTTTATAGTAAACAGCAGAGAGAAAATGCAAGCATTTTGGCAGCTTGGGAAAATACTAGAATTCATTAGAAATATATCATGTGTTTACTCACATTTTATTTTGACAGATAGGTAGAAATCTTTAAATGGTTTTAGGGGCTCTTATATATGAAAGGAAGATTATTAAAGAAAGAGAGAGCTTATTTTTCAGGCTGATGAACATTCTAATGTGCAGCACGATGCCAAGACAAAAATAAGACCTTCAAATATAATTGAATTTGTCTAATAAGCACATAGCTTGATTCCTTTACTCCCTCCTAATCACTAGCTCCAAATGTCTGTCTGCTGTCAGCACCTACTAGTCTGCTATTGAGACCTCAGAATGAGGCCTTAATGGAAGAAATCATTGATGATTATACATTTCCTAAAAATGTTTCTTTGGATATAAATAATTCATTTGAATCCCAAGAGGAAAGCCTTGTTCTGTTCTATATGGTCTCCTTTGGAAGAAGTGGATATTGGAACTCAATGTAAGAATTAGTAGCTGACCTCTCCAGTGTGATTCACACCTTTCAAGGGCTCCTGCCTTTTCAAAGGACTTCTGTCCTCATTTCAGAGAAGCAGAAAGATTGAGTGGGCACTCACAAAGATTCTTGAGCCCTGCCTGAAATCTTAAGGTGGTATGCAATTATGTGAACTTCTATTGAAAGTAAACATTTGGATTTTAGATGAAACACTACAACCTTCAGATAATAAAGCAGCTACAACAAAACAAAACCAACCACCTAAACAAACACAAAAGGAATTTAAGCGTAGGTAGTGGATTCAGGCTCTCTACAGAACCCTAACCAGTAGGACAGATGAGTAGATGGATATAGGTAGATAGATGATAGATAGATAAACAGATGATAGATATACAGGAGGGGAGTTTTTAGGGGAACTGTTTTGCATGATTGAGGGGGATAAAGTATGTCCTGAGACTGGCCTTTCTGCAAGCTGAGCCCCCGGGATGTCAGCAGCATGCTTCCCTCTGTTTTTCTTGTGTCTCAGTCTCCAGTTGATTGGACTGTGCCCACCCACATTGAGGGCCGATCTCCCCTGCTCTGTTCACCAACTCACACCAACATCCTCTGGAAAGACCCTCACAAACAACCTCAGAAGTAAGGCTTTACCAGTTCTCTAGGTAGTGCTTAGTTTAGTCAGATTGCCAGCTAAAATTAACCATCACAGGTAGCAGCAGCCCCTTCAAATTAGGTTGCGCAGCATGTGAAACGAGTCAGCAGTGGTTGCACCAAATTTCAAGAACTGCACTTTCTGGATGCCTCACTTTAGGAAGGTCATTGGAAGTGTGAGAACAATTTCATTCCAGATTAGGATGATTTTGATGGGAAGGTTTACCTGAAGAAAGAGAGCTTCTCTTCCTCACAGAGCTTAGGAGGAGGGAGAGAACTTGCCAACTCTAACAGACACACCTGGGAATTACAGGAAAAGAAGAAATCTGACTCACGTGATAAAGGGTTTTAGAAGAGTCCAACAATCAAATTATCGTCATTGGAAAATGGTAGGAGAGTTCCGACTCTGAGAAACTTTTAATATAGCTGGGAATGTCTTAAATTGCAGCTACGGCCTTTATGGCCTGTGAGCCCAGAATGGTTCCTACATATTTAAAGTGTTATAAATATTGTGAACAGGACAGAGTAAAACAAATAGTGAAGGACAGGAACTGTGTGTGGATTGTAAAATCTAAATTATTTACTATGTGGTCCTTTGAGAAAAGTTTGCATAGCCATGGACTTGAGTTTTCTTGAGATTTAAAAGAAGCTTAAACAAAGTCCTCCTTAAACACTAGCACACACATTTTTTCCTCTTACTTAAATTATATTTATTTTCTGACCATGCATCTCCTTGAGTCTAAAACTTGAATTCTGCATTCTATGGTTGAAGCCTGGGTCCCCAAGCTTCTTGCTTGGGGAATCCTTTGCTCGTGCTGTGATCACAGGGAATATTACACTCTAGGCAGCTTTATGCATATTTAATATAACCATTTAGCTAAAACATAATTTCCAGCCAGCCTTTACCAGATGAGTTTTGACTTATTTTTTTTCCTTTGACCTATTGAAGCTATGTATCTGAGTCAGTTTGGGAGGGTGGGAAATTTGAGAATCTGAGCAGAAATGTGGTTAGGATGGGTTTGTCTTTTTCAGCATAGAAAGCAGTTCATAGTCATTATGCATAATTATAGAACAAGTCCTCTGTTAGATTCAGTCCATGTATCTATAACTTCCTACACCTTAAAATTTTCTTCAAGAGCTAAAAAGTGGGTTGATGAAGTAAAATATCTTTCCAAGAATTCCTATACCCCAATTCTAGATCATGCCCCTATCTTATGCTATGCCCCAGTCCTAGACCGTGCTCCAATCCTAAATTAGGACAGGCTCAGCAAATCATATGAAAGCCCACAGGTCACTTGTCAGGAAGGATAGATAAGTGAGTCAAGGATACATGCAGGGCTAGAGCTGCCATCTCAGGACAGGAGGTACCATCCAGGAATGCTGCTTGGCCTCCTGGGGCTTTCTTTCCTCTTCTACCGGTCTAGTCCCTTTTCCCACTCTGATTGTCCTCCCTAATATGGTGTTTCTATGGGAAAATAAGGCCCAAATGACCAGCAATCCCTGGTCTACTGTGTGCACCTGCTCTGCCTGTGAGACTGGAGAGTCAGTTCTCTCAACCAACTGTCCAAGTCTCTTTGAGCCAGACCTAGAGATTTTGGATGAGGCTGTAATTGGGTATCTTGGGTCTAATTGGCTGCTGCTATGTGGAACTGTCCTGTGCTGTATAAACTGGCTGTCCAGACCTGCCCGGTGAGCAGGAGATGAGGACTGGTATGTCCAGGAGATATACACAGGCAAATGAGAAAGGAAATGATAAGAAAACAAGCCATATAATTAATGAGAGATGATTTTTAAATGACATAACTTTAGATATATTGAAAGTTTCATGCTTCAATAAGAGCTCAAGTGTTTCTATCCTATTAGAGTAGCTTGCTTTCTCAAGTGAAAAATTTGATAAGCATACCCATATCCATGAGGAAATTATGGGCTAGACTAACTCTACTAAATCTGCATTTTGAAAGAAAAAAAATACATGCCTTTCTTGTATTCTTGAGATGCTCCCAAAGAAAATTATTCTTTTTGAATAGAAATAGATAATGAAATCCACAAAGTTTTCTACAGCACCCTGTTACCAGGTCAACTATGAAATAAATAACCAGTTTTAGAACACAATTCCTAGAAAGGATGCAATGGATTAGCTAGAGATGGAAAGACTTGAAAGCTCCAGCCAATAATTGGCCCTAAGGACTCACAGCTGGGAGATAGGATGTCAGGAGATTAGTTGGGGTTAAGCTTTCCTGGGATCTCTGAGGTGCCTGGCTGACTCTGTAAATCCCATAGCCTCCAAGGACCTGAATTGTCTTCCCTCTCATCCCAACACACACTCACATCCACAAATCCTTTCTTGTGCCCCTTCCTTTTGGCACAGAGCCCAGCACAGAGTCAGCAGATATGTCATTTGAGTCAGCCTGTGTGTCTGAGACAGAGAGGAACTGAAAAGACCAAATTTTTGCCCTGAGATTCTCAGTGGAGCAGAATGTGTCAGCCCTTCTCCAATTTCTATTGCTCTTCTGTTCTGCAAACTGTCCCCATGTTCCTCAGAGCTGTTCCCTGCCACCTTCACTTTTCCTCTTGATTTCAGGTGATCTACTGCACAAAATAAAACAGATAGGAGAGCCTCTGGATATACCTGTGTATATGTCAACCCGGACAAACTTGGTCCTCAGAGAAACTCTGAGGCTTTGACCTCTAAATGTCAGTGTCTCCCACTTTACAGACGTTCTCCCAATAGTCACATATGTGCTAGCTTTTTTCTCACTCCATGTCACCCAGGGGCTTCTCCTATCATACTTTTCTGAGAATAATCTCACCTTCCTCCATGTCCCCAGTGATTCTTACCCTGCTGCACCATAGCTTGGGGAATATCATCCTTCCTCTCCTCTCCAAGGTTTCTAGTCCCTCTGTTGGTGGCTAATCCAGAAGACACTGGTCAGCCTCTGTTTTGATCTTTGGTAGGACTTGATAGTATTGACCTGCTTATCCTTTTGAATTATTCTCTCGTGCAGA